ATTTCAGACTTCTATATTTTACAATTTACGAGTGATGAGCAGGAAGCAAAAAGTCTTTGCTTAGAGAAATAGATATTTTTTCAGTTCACGCTTTCCTGGAGAGGAGTACTCTGGCCGATTTGGCTTATTTGTAATACTAACTGCGTGGAAAAGTTTCCAATGCTTTTGCCAAATTTGAATTCGATATCTTAATTTTTGTTGCCAGAAGAAGGCTAACAACACACATCCATGCGCACATAAATACTGACACACATGGCTTTATTGATTCGCAAGAAGGCTATATGTAATTTAAGAAGCTTTCTTTTTGGGCTTTGCAAATACTATTGTGATCCTTGGTTCGTGTCTGTAAAGATTTGATACCGAGCTTGCACTTACTTAAAGTACACTGTTGTCTGAACCTAAAGTTACTCAGCAAAACATCATATTCATGCTTTCGAGCAAAAGTGGAAAATTTTTGTCTGTTTTGAAAGCAAGAAACTTAATTACATTGAAAATGCCTCAGCATGAGGCATAGGAAGAGGCCAAAAGTTACATGACTTCCAGAAAAGCCCATTTGATACCAACCAGCCTCTAAACCAGTCGTGACTCTAAATCGCTTCACAAATCAACCAATACATATATATATATATATATATATATATATAAAACAATATATATATATATATATATATATATATATATATTTATATATATGAAAACATTTGATAAATTTAATATACCTCCTGTGGTTGATAAAACACACATCATATAACACATCATAAATTTCAAATGACTTTATGGATGAAACGCATTAGGAAAACAACGTTAATTTGTTGTTGTAAATAAAATGAGATATAATCGGAAATTTAATATGAAAAGTATAATTGTTTAGTATTTTGCCACATACATATGCTTTTAATCTTTAATATTTCGAGTCAAATAACTATTTATACGCATTAATTGACCAAAATCAACACTTTATCACGCAACTGATAGTCATTATAGCAACGATAATTCGATTGTTGATAAAAACTATTCAAATTATGATTGCAAATATAAATTTAGTGTATTATGTGTAGAATCCAAAAACCGCAGAAAACTGAATTTGATAATGCCGCATCATAAGCAGACCGACCACCCGCAGGCTTTGCATGAGCATTTCATGCGCATTATCTAAACCGAAGAGCATAGTAATTTTCCAGTAAATCAGTTTATGCTCACTGGACAGAAAATATTAAATTACACTTGCCGTCCTGAATCTTCGACTAGAATTTACGTCTTTAACAATACAAAGAAGCAAATAAACGCAAGGAACTTAAATATTATAACGTAAGAAGCTTCTCGAAGATAACGGTTTCATCCAACTTCAATTAAAATTAAGGTCCTGCCTTATTTTCAATTCCAAGGAAATCTATTCTCAAACAGTTTACAACAGGAATGCCTTCACTCGACCCTTTAATGCCCTCTTACTAGCAATACCAAATTTCATTGTGAGATTTTAGATGCTAATCTGGTTTTATCCTGTGAAATGTTTTGCGAACTAGGCAGGAAAAACATCATGACCTTGTGTTGGGTTTTATCGTTTCTCGAATAATTAACAATATGTTAGTTAAATGAACAGAGCATCGCCGGCATTCTAAACTGGATGGATTACTTATATATACAACCAGCAGCACGGGTAAACCTTGTTTAGTCTAAAATGTTGTCCCTCTAACAGTTCACCACAAACATAGACAAAGCAAAAAGTTCTTCGGTTTTTTCTTTTTTTGTATGCTATAGATCAGAGATTATGGATTTTCGAGGTTTCAGGTTTTCGTTGCTTAACGAAGAATGCCCCTTACCTCCTTAACCCTAAATGATTTTTTTCACCATTTTTGTTCTTTGCTTTTAATTGTTTTATTTCCTATTCTCTCAAATCATTTTTCTCCTCTCTATCTTATTAAAAATGGAAATTAGGTTTTCGTTAATTTATTCTTGCCACCTCGTGTAAGTGGCATTTAAGTTTGTCTGTATGCCTTTCGATTCTGTTTCCTTTTTAATGGCGTTTGAAGTTATTTCAACGCTAACGAATCTAATTAAATTTCATTAAATTTTGAAACGTTTCTTAATGAATTCGTAATTTTTACATTAAATTTTGTAAAAAAATCTTTTACATAAATTTTACGCTCAAACACTTATTAAAATTTTCCCGCTAATTTCATTTTAAATCATTTGGACGTTAAATACTCTACAACACCTACGCTTATGTATATAAAGACGTAGAGGAGGATCGAGGAGATTTTTAGTTGCGTTCGTCCAACATGAGTGGGTTCAATTATTTCGTCGCATCATGAGCAACCCTAAGAAATAATCAAAACGTTTCTTTAAACAGAGCGAATGAGAATTTGGAGCTACGTTTGAACTGACGGTGCCAATGGTTCACGCAATTTCGAATATGCTGCTGACTCCACTTTCGCAATGAATGGATGATTGATTTTCTTAAAAATTAAAAGCCTAAATTAAAGACGTCAATATTTATTTTTAGAAGGACGACGCCGGCAGTCACACCTTATGACAAATTTGACTTCGATATGCGCACAGTTTTCAAGTTATTCACAAAGATTTCTGTTTACATACCACTGCTTCAGAAGGAGGCCTCCTAAGTATGCCTTGACGCTCGTAGCATATTTTCAGCGGTCACGCCGTAAGATCTATTTATACCCTGGGTTAAGTTGTTATGTTTACCTTTTCGTCTGCTTCATGAAATGTTGACAGTCAAGTTTCAATTTTGATATAGACATCTCAGAACCGTCAAGTGGGCATTAAAATAAGTGAATTGACTTTTAATTATAATTGATTTTGTTCAGAGACGAAAAAAGTCTGAAGAGTAGATAGCCCCTTTTCAGGATAACTCACCTTTTCGTCGTTTATGTCTTTGCTAAGCGTATTTTAGCGGAAAATAATGGCACGGCGAGGTAATTTAAAAACAAAAAAAACGAACACGGGAAGGTCAACGACGAATGCGCAATCGATTCAACCGCCCTTTTTCGACAGCGCCGCCTTGTGAGTGTGAGTGAGACGCCTGCTGCCAAGACAAATTAAGTTTTTAGTGGACAATAAACAGCGTTGTATTTGTAACAACATCGGTATGTGAAGAAGAAGATGAATGCAAATATTTGGAAAAAGGTAAAGGGAGCGAAATAATTGTTAATTAAAATTATTTTTATTTTATCTAATTTTGTTTTAATTAAATTTTTATAACACTTGAGTTCTTCTTTTATTATAATATTTCTCAAGAACATTTTGCAAGATTTCTTTTTCATAACACTCTTTCATTTTGTGACACCAGAAGAGAGAAACATTGAAATTAATTATTTCCTTTCCCCATAATTTTGGAATTTCTATCATTAATAGGATTAGGTTGTGTATAAAATTCATTATGATTTTTTCTTTTTTTTTTTGCTTTATTTTCCGTTTGAATATGCTGTTGGACACCAACTTTATAGTTGAATGAGTTATCACTCGACACTGACGACAATCGTACACGTTTGCGACAATTGAAAGCGAGGTATTCGAGTTGTCGACACGACAACCGCCTCGTTATCGATAGCCGTAAGTCACACGCGAAATCTAGCATCAAGTTTATTCGACACCGACAACCCTAAGACTTCATATAAGAAAGATGTTCACATTAGACGGATTCGTATAACATGGGAGAAAATATTGTCATCCTATACAAGAGGTTTGTATAAATAATACGGTCACAGAATGAGGGAGAAAATATGTGTTAATAGATTTTCATACATTTCTCTCTCTCCCTCTCTCTCTCTCTCTCTCTCTCTCTCTCTCTCTCTCTCTCTCTCTATTTCTCTCTTTCTCTCTCTTTCTTCCTCTTTTGTGAAAATAAAAAACGTTTGTTATTTAACGGCTATTAAAATTATTGCCATAAAGGGTCTGGGCCTCGTCTGACTAAGCTGTTCTGCGTGCCGCCAAAAAGTCCACTCAAAGTTTTGAAACTATCCTAAAGAAAATTGAAATTTATCGTAAAACCCCGACTTCTTTAGGACATCATAGCAATTGTATATATCACCTTCTCTTACAAGTAGAATAATAAATTAATTTTAAAAAAGTTTTGAAATTCCATCTGGCCATATATTCGGCATTCTTCCATCTGCGGTGAATTAAGATAAATCTTCGAAAACAAATGATGTGTTGAGCAGATGGGGCTTTCCCCCGACAGGAATGCCTTTCTTCTTCTGCAATTTTTTTTTTATAAATAATTTAATTTTAGCTTAGGTACACAGGGACAGTTTTAATGACAATGACGACATCTCAGTAAAATTGGGTTTCTATCAGCTTTCGATTTTCTTTCTCTATTACAAATTCAATTCTAAATTAGGGCCTTTGTCTCAGAAATTCTTTATAGTGTACTTTGTTTACTTTAAAAATTATTTCAAGCTTGTGTTGGGAAAGGCCGCAAGATATTTTCGGACAAGTTAATATTTTCAGTTCAGTAATATTTTCCGCTTCACTTCACAATTGATCGGCTTACTACTTACTACCATCAAAAAGGTAAATACTTTAATTTGTTGTCAGCCTTCGCCCATACAACAACAACTTTTCAAAATGATTCCTTATACGGAAAGTGTTCGAAAATGTGCTCCGGCGCAAAACATTTTCAATGGCGTTCGTTCTTGGGCCATAACTCAACGCGGCCTTTAAGTTGAACACCACACAGACAAACGGACAGAAAAGAATACCTTGCTCCAGTAAGTGATTCAAAATCGATTGGTGTAATAGAAGGTGCATCTACCTCATGCCCCTTTGGAAGTTGTATAGGCAGATGGTGTAGGGTATAGAAAATCCGTCTCTAATGAAATATTTTTTTCTTTCTTTCTTCATTCGCTTTTGTGACTTACCTGGTCAACATGTTAGCACGATTTACTGCCACCTCCGCCTCGATACGAAAACGATCCTGAGCATACCGATCGACAACACCTTCACCGAGATTTAATGATGTACCCGCTTCACAATTCGAACCGAGAGAATGCTGTGTTTCAACAATTTGTAAAAATTTCGTAACAACATCGCGACCGCGCATTAAATTACGACGATTATTACGGGATATTTCATCCCAATCGTAAATTTCATCGGAATTCGCGGCATCGACAACACCTTCAAGGAAATGATTTGTTTCATCATCTTCACTATTCAAGCTGAAATTATTCATATCTTCCGTTTCCGATTCGCCAGAAGAAAATTCCAGATTATTATTATTATTATTATCGTTATTATTATTATTATTACTATTTAGGAAAGCATCATCCATAATGCTATTGTTAATATTATCATTATTATCGTTTGGACTATTCGTGGCACTGTCATTATCATCGGAAGAATCAATAAAATTAATTTCTTGCAATTTATATATACGTGTAGTGTCCAGGCCTTTACCGCCAACACTGGTGCTGGCTGAAAGTCGCGGTGAATTCATGAAATTTTCATTTTCTATTGACCACAATTGTGAATCTTCGGTTCTATCCGGGTTCTGAGAGAAAAGATGAAATTTGCTTTGATTAATCGCATCCGATAGTTGATCGGTAACTAAATCATCAAAATTTAAGGGTAACGTAGTCGTTTGTTCGACGGTCAAATCATTTTCAATTTCTTCCAAGTGTAAATCATGATAGACACGAGACAAATTCAAAACATTCAAAATCGGCTGGGGACTGTAACTAGGATCAACGGGTAAGTCATTCTCAACTTCTTTCAAAATAATTTCTGAAGATTTTTTTAATTTTGTTCGAATATCTTCATCAAAAAGCTTATCATTATGCTTTATTGCTTGCATCGTAGAAAGAGTCGTGGCATCGTATTCATCGTTCCCAGCAAATTCAACATTTGTTATTTGCTCCTCATCATTTTGATAGGAAAAATCGTAATTAATGAAATTATCATTTTGTAAAGCGATTTTCAACTGTTGACCAACAACATTTTTCTCATCATCCTCGTCATCATTATTGTTATTATTATTATTATTATTATTATTATTATTAATATTGGTTAACAAACGACGCTGTAGTTGTTCGGCCTGAACTAAACTGCGACGATGGTTACCGCCATCATCGTCACCAACTTTTCGGCTTCCGTTAGAATTATTGCGACGTAAACTTTCCGTGATTTCTTTTTTATGCAATTTACGTATTCTATGTGTTACTGCTGGCATCATCGTAACCGAGGTCGTTAAATATGCTGGCCTGTCTGTCGCGTAGTGTGCATTTACTTGACCGTTGAAGTGGTTGAACTCAATGAGATTTCTTGCTTTTATCCCAATACCAGGATTCACTAAAGTTGTTGTAAAATTCTCATTATTATGACGACGTTTTATTATCGCTATCGTTGTATTACCGTTATTACCATAATCATGTTGTAACGAGATAGCTGCCACATTGTGCTGTTTTTGTGTTAAATTGCTCGCTTTGCCAAAACCTTCATTATCGTCGTCTACATCCGACGTGACAAGCAATTTTTTTAACATGTTTTTCTGTTTACGCTGTTGCTGTTGTTGCTGTTGTTGCTGGTGTTGCTGGTGTTGGTGTTGGTGTTGCTGCTCTTTTTCTGCGGTATGTCTCACTTTAGAACGTTCGTGACGTATATTGATATTCTCACCAATAGGCAAATTGCCATTAACCATGACGTTCTGTTCATTAGCGTGAGTTGAAAGGCAAGTTATAATCAGCATAAGCACTGTAGACGCCGTGATTGTTACAAAAAATGTTGTTACCTTATGTATCGTTAGCATTTTCAATTACTTTAGTGATTGCTTTAAAATTAAATTTTCACTCCTTATCTTCTTATTTTTGTTCTTCTTTTCACGTCACGTTTAATTTTTCTCGTTCATTTGACTAACTACCTTTTGCTTCTGATTCGTACTTTTCTAACGCAATTCATGTAATACTGAGAGCGCGATACTAAGTAATGACGAACGTTTAAAATTTCATTTGCAACATTCAAATTACTTGACAACATGATCAACATTTCGCCGACACATTGATTGTGCAAGTTGCCGAACAATGCATTGAGACAAAATATTTCTAATTAATTAAATTTTAATTAAACTTATCGTTCTATTCCAATGTATTTTTTTATATTTTTTTTATTTTTTTTTTTTTTTTTTCTTTTTTTTGTTGGTTTATATATAATCTTTTATAAAAACGAAAGTGTTGGCATCTGCAAAAAAAAGGAAAGAAAGAAAAGAGAGAAAAAAAAGGCAAAGCGGTTTTAATAACGAAATGAAATTTTCTTATTTAAGGAAACATTAAAAGTTTCGATATAAAAACAAAAACATCTATCTTTCAGAGAAAGGCACAAACATTGCAGTACTTTATTAAATTAAATAGCTTTTCGAGATTATACTCTGGATGAAAAAATAGACAAAGAAGAGATTAAATTGACTAAAACGAATCATAGACCACTGGCACAAGCTGTTAAGTAAATGATTACTTTCGTTTTACTTCAATAATGTGTTTACTTACACAACATTTCAATTGACTAAGAACATTGCATTCAGACGATTAGTAAATAAATAAATAAATAAAGTCAGTTTGGCTGCAAAATAAGCAGTGGCAAATAAGTTGTTCAATCAATCCTTTAAACATTGAACTATTTTATTAAACTTTGTAGCCCACTAAACGGTCTTAGAGATCGCCCGTATATATATGTTACGAGATTTCGCCTAAATAGAATACCATGAGAGAAAGCGAATAGTTAGCTAGCAGATATTTCACGAGTTCTGATAGATCATGCCGCAACATGAAGTTGATCTTCTTCTATAGATCCCTAACAGATAAAAAACTGAAATCATAATCATTGGCATCGATATTACAAAGTAATTAGCGCTTTCTCTGTTCAAAACGGGCAAAGGCACTTTGTCTTCACCAAAAATTATTTTACATTTAAATATAAAACCAATCAAAAAATTTATATTCGCCTGTGATAGAATCTTCTACGCACATCGCTTTATAAATAACATTCAAACATAAAGAAAAAATTAAACTTTCTTTATTCAATTGTGAAGTACCGCACACCATGGCCACGGGCGATTTTCTCCATTTTCAGAGAATCACTTATAGAATGCATTTGGCAAATTTTTAAATTTATAAGCAATGATCGAAAAACCAAAACCTTTTCTTGCCTGGAAACAAAAGCTGGACTGATCGTTCGATCAATTTGCATCATTTTCAAGAGCAAATTGCTTGCAAGAACCATCAGTGCTTTAATTACATTTGAAACCGATACTTCAAAAGAGAGTGTGATCGTAACATAGACGGACAGAGGGAAATGTCTAAATGTATTCAGACTTTGATACGGATCAAGCATGGAGTCTCTGCAGCTTCCTTTTGAATGTTGCTTACATTTCACTATCCCCGGTGGTGGGTATAAAAGATGGAAACAAGAAATAAGAAATTTATATTCGGTTGCGGACGAATCTTTGATACCCATCGCTGTCATCCTATAAAATAGGGGAAAATATAAATTTGTCTATTTTATAATGTTGGGTGGGCTCGAATGATTTTTTCTACCTTGTCGAATAATTTCTCTGGAAATTCATCTTAAGCAAAGATACTTACAGTTTTTATTGCATAGGCGGGTGGATGTTGCAGACGTGTCCTTTGATCGGTTCGAAAGATTTTAAAATTTCAAAGTCAAAAAACTTTTTATTGTTTTTAAAAAACAGAAGTATTCTCAGGTTACGTAGGCTCGCAACGATTTGGTCCGTTTTCAAGCTGTATGCGAGACGTTCCTGTGTTTCTGTCGAATTTAAAAGTGATATCTTCATTTTTGCAGTCGGACGGATAGACAGACATGATTCGCATATATGATTCAAAATTTGATGCTGATCAAAAGTGTATATACTTTATGTAGTCTCTGAAGCTTCTTTCTAGTCGTTGCCAACGTTTTGACAAAGTGAATACAGCCCTCATCCTTCGGTTATGAGTATAAAAATTTCTAGTTTACAAGCATGCAACGTTGCTGTCTATTAAAGAATGCACAAAAGAACTTCAGTTCACATATATATATTAAGAATGTAGGCGAGATATATCCAAGTTTTTGTTTCAAACAAATATGACTCTTTCTTTTAAGTAACTTTGCTAAAAAGTTACTGCACTTAGTAAATCAAACAAACAGACAAACCCAAAGAAGCTAACTGAACAAAAAATATAAGTTGGTTATAAAAAAAAAAAAAAAAAAAAAAAAAAAAAAAAATATTGCCTTTAAGTTTATAGCATGTTCATTATTACGATACCCTTGGAATGCGGTTAGTTGTAGAGGAGATTTATTTCTTTGTAATAACTTATTGTGCTACGTTCTTATCAAATTCCGTTGAATGCTAAGCCAAAGCTCAACTGAGCACCCATTAACAACGCAGCGATCGAGCATTTAGCCTCTTGTCATACCTAGCCTAGTTTAATAACATAAAGAAAGAAAGCAATTAAGAAAATAACATTCGATCGGGACCGATTTTATTATACCCATCACCGTTATACTAGAAAAGACAAAAGAAGTAACAGAAAAAAATTTTCATGCCTTATCACATGGATTGGACGCGACGGATTTTTTCTACTTTCAAAATAAACATTTTTATCGTATAGACCTGTGCGCGTTGTAGGCGTCCCCTTTCAAAAGTTCAGATTAATTCCAATATAACTTTGTAGGCGATATCTTCACTTTCGAGAATGGGGGAATATTTACCATATATACTATACAGTTGCGCCAGCACACAGATGGACAGACGAATAGGCGGACATGTTTAGGTGCATTGCAAATTTGAATTTGGCCAAGAATTTATAAACCCTTTTTTTTATATTCTCTACAGGGTTTAAAGGTATATTAAAAAAATTAAAATTTAATTCACTATAGTACTGGATAGGCGTGGTCAATTTTTTTTCAATTTCCGTAGATAAGTACTACAGCATCGCCCACAGCGTATGCGTTTACATTTTTGTACTTTTATTTGCTATAGTTTATGAGCAATGAGCAAAAACCAATTTTTCACTCCTTTTGAAAAACGGAAGCGTCCTTCAGCCGATTTGGCCCGTTTTCACTACCAATCTGCGTACAAGAACTTCCAATGTTCCTGCCCAAGTTGAAGTGGATAGGTTTATTTATGTGGCCAGCAGAATGTGTACGACAGACATTACTCAGACGGATAGACGGACAGACGGGCATGCTTAAAACGATTTAGAATTTGATGCTAATCAAGAACATACATACTTTGGGCGATTTCAGATGCTTTCTTCTGGGCGTAACAAACGTAAAAAATGAATACACTCCTCATCCTTCGGTGATGGGTATAAAAATGAAGAAAAAAGAAAAAACTAAAAACCTCATCTTAACAAGCTATGCAATAGAAAAAATAAATGTGGAAAGAGGACAACATAACAAACAAACGAAAACAAAAAAATTAAAAAAAGAGAAAGTTTTATACTTTAAGTAAAGTAATCTACAACAGCAGGAGAAGATCAAATAAGTTTCTTCTTTGTTTATGTAACTTGTCCAAACGGAATAATTTCCTTTTTAGTTTACAAGTTGAAAGTTGCAGTTTGTGAAGACGTGAAATTTGGACACGCGCTATACGAGTTTTGAGCTAATGAAAGAATGTAAGCAAAATAAACAAATGTTTGTTGAAAGAATCTTTCGCTGTTACTTGTGATTGAAGGTAAAGAAGCAAAAGTTTGATAACATAGTCATTACTCAAAATTTAGGAAAGTTGCTTACCTGGATATGCAACGCTTAAGCCTATCCTCTGTATACCCATCGCCAAAGAATGAAGGATATGTTCATTTTCTTAAAACGCTTGCAACACCCTAAAGGAAACTTCAGAAAGCCCACAACGTATACATCGTTTTGATCAGTATCAAATATTGAGGCATGTCCGTCTGTCTGTCTGTCTGTCTGTCTATCTATCTATCTAACCGTATGCGCAATTTGTGTTGTAAACATTCTCGTGGCTACGAAAGTACAATTATTGGAAATTCTTGCACACAGAGTTGGACTGAAATTCAATTTCTCAAGGTCAATTCAATTTCAATTTTTCGAAGGTCACACCTTTTTTGCTTACTACTCACAAACCTCAGCAGATAACTCTACAAAAATTCAAACGCACACTCTATGGGCGATACTATAATAGCTGTGACTATACTAAAATTGAAAGAAACGACCACGCCTGCCCAATTTTGTAGTGTGCCATAATTTCACTCTCTTCCGAAGCCTTTATAATGTATAGTAGTATATAAATTCTTGGCGTATTTCAAATTTGGACTGCGGTTAAGCATGTCCGTCCATGATACCCATTAACATTCTCCCGTTAGCGGAAAAGGAGATATCGGCGAGGAATTTTGCATGTCTTCTGCTCGTTCGTCATAAACTACAGCAACAAAAAACGGAAAAAGTAGGCCACGCTCACCTAATTGTATAATATATGAAAATTTAAGTTTTTGTTTGTTTTTTTTTTGTTTGTCTTTTTCAAGATAAAAGTGATGTTCCTCTAAGCCTAATAACTAATAGGTAAAATTTAACAGATCTTGTCGAATCTACTGTTCAAAAATTGAATATTACTTAGGCTGACTGGCTCGCTCGCAATGCGCCAAGGCTTCTGTTACGATGAAAACTGATCGCAACAGTCACTTACTCAATAATATAATATCCGTTTACTTTACAGGAAGTGATCATCGGGCAAAGATATGATGGATTGGAGATTGGAGAAATTTACCTCTTCGATACAACTTTGTCTTTCTTACTTTCTATAGTCCTTCCAAAATTCCTTATTCTGGTAGTAACTTGTTCATGTTACAATTGTTTACACTTAAATTACAGCAATTGGATGATAGCAATGTAGAGTATGCGGTTGCTTTTGAATTGCACGATACATTGTGCATGCTAGGTATTTAACACTTTAACATACGCCATTAAGCTATGTTTACTATGCACTTGCACAATTTAATTTGCATACGAATCGTACAATTGACTTTCTTCTCTGTATTGGGTAGACTAAACAGCAAAACGTTTCCTCATGGACGTCTATTATTCCCTACTCAATTACTTTGTGAATTCGATTTTTCATTCAATAGCCTCCTTCGGTGAACAACTTTTTCC